TTTTTTTTTTTTGGGGCAGTTCAATTGCTTCCATCTTTTTTTCTTTTGGATGGAGCTATTTTGGTGGGTTGGTTGTGATTTAGAGTTGATTAGTTGTTAAGGGATAGATGAGAAGGAGTTAGTTTGGGGCTTTGATGCAGACCAAATACTCATGCTATGTGGTGACAAATAACAATCTTTAGCGCTATTCCATTAGTATGATTTAAGAGTTGTAATTGCTGTTCCTGGTTACATATCCAAACAATCTGACAGTTTCACCTCCAGCTCTGATTTCGTGACAAAACAAACCAAAAATCTTAGTCAGGAGCACTGCTCTATATATCTCAAAGATGCAATCATATGTCCTACCTACGTTTTACTTGATCTCCTGTTTGCTAGCTCACGCTTGTCTGCTTTTGCTTTGATAGCTTGCTGCATTGACTAAACTATTGAGAACTTATGTTTTCCTTGCAAATGGACATTGCTATATTCTTCCTGCTTCCCTTCAAATTGAAAATAATCAAAAACCCTGCCTTGGACTTTCAAAGGATCTGCTAACCAATTCTCTCCCTCCCTCAATCTTCTGATTATTGGCTAGTTGATTACTGTTATCAGGTAATCCTTGCTTCTACTTGTATTAGAGCATGTTCCTTCTTTCCCTGCGTCCCTTTACCAAAACATAAAACCTAGTAAAATGGAGAACTCTTTGGTTTTCATTTGTCCCTTGTTTTCGCTTATTGGTGCTGGTTGTAAAATGAGGAAAAGTTGGATTCTTCCACGGTCGTTACAGCATGTAATGTAGTTTTGAGGTATAGGTGCCATGATATTCTTTTATTTTTAGATGATATGAATAAGTGTTTTCTAAAGGCAAATAGAGAAACCACAACTATCACATGTTTTCTGTTTTTTTATTCATATACAGAGGAAGGCATGCTTGAGCAAATCATATACAAAGGTTTAGCATTCAACTGGCTGCCGGCTGCTGTCATGATTTATTGCTTCCTTGTAGATCTGGGATTCAAGTGGTTGGATTATTAGGAAAATTCACACGAGGACCACTTTGCTGTTTGCACGTCGTTAAGGTGGTAATTAATATCGAATTTTGGTTTTTGGCGCTTTTAGAAAAAATAGAAAGCTTGCATTTGCTAATGGAAGGATTTTTGGTTTTGAGGGTACATGAGACTGAATTCTCAAGAGAAAGAGCTCATGACAATGTCGGGAGCCTGTAGATTTATATATATGAGGCTATAATGCAAATGCAAGGGTTTGGATGTTTGGATTGTCTTCCAACAACCTAACCGTAGGGAAGGTGAATAATCTCCGGAAGTAAAATTTACCTCTTCTGACCAAACTAATTTATATATTTACTTTCTTTCCTGTTTCATTTACGTTGTAAATCTTCTTTGTTATTAGTATTCTCAGTTTTAGTGGGGAAGATTTGATGATAGGCATTTACATAGCAGAGCAAATTGTTTTTACATCGACCTAGCCAGTTCTTACTGACGTTGCTATGATGTTGCTCTGAATTTCGGACATGGTGAAGTTTTGTGCTTCTGTATTTAGAACTATATCTATCAATCATTCAAGTTTTGAATGAAATATTCTGGAAATAATGATGGAAAATAGAAGTGCAGTCCTAAAAAAATAATGGTGTTTGCTGGGATCAGACAAACTTGGATTATAAGGTTCATTGCCACAATGCTAAAAGTTGCAGGATCTCCAAATTTGACACTTTATACTCTAAAGGTTCAATATAGTATCTTAATAAATTCATTTTTTTCCGTTAATGATTCTACTTAAGAACTTTACTACTAATATTGTTTAAGAGCACAAGATTAACAATTAAATTTTGCAACTTAATGCACCATCTTTTAATGATTTTCTCATGATTTAACTAGTATCTTAACTTTCAAGACGCTATTTGGACTATAATAATTTGAAGAAACACACAAAGATGAAATATTTTGAAAACGTTCCATACTATCTCAATTGCTACGCAAAAATGTATCCCGTGTGGACAATTTAATTTAATGAAGAGCTTCCTCCAAATGCTTTAGAGTTTTGTGAAGCTGTTGGCTTATCGGTAAAATTCCTTCTTGCTGTTGAGAGACTTTGATTTTTTTTTCTTTTCCATCAAACAAAAAACATTTCAATTATCCAGCAAATGACATGAACTTTTTAAATGCAAAGATGGAGAAGCCGAATCTGGCAACATCAGTTGAAATTCACAGCACTACAGACCAACACAAAATAGTAGTAGGTAATAAAATGTACTTGCACATTTAGGCACCTATTTACACGATCAGAGTCAGGAATCTCGAGCTCTCCCCTGTAAATTCTTTTCCTTTGATCAGCGTCAATACCACGTGAAGATACCATTGGTCTGTTACTAATCTTTCAAAACTTTGGCGAGAGCATCAAAAACTCCCTGTAAAGTAACATCCTCCACAATGAGGACCTTATCCCTGGATTTCGAACCAGAACCTATAGAAACTTGTCTTCTTTTGACCCCAACAACGGAGCTTATATAATCGATTAGGGCAGCATTAGCTTCACCATCTTTAGCAGGTGCGTCTATTTGAACACCAACTGCATCGTCATCCAAGTCAGTGACGGTGGCGATTTTGGACCCTGGCTTCGCGTGGATCGTGATGGCGACGGACGACGGAGGAATGGCGCGGATGCACGCCGGAATTTTGGGAGTTGAAACAGCCGGCTGAGTTAACTCGCCTGACTTGCTTTTACCTTTGCTTTTCTTCGAGGGAGGCATAGGATACCTGTAATTATCAGAACCGGGGAATTTCAACAAGTTTATTAAGGATTTAACCCGACATATCTAAGAAAAATAATACTATTTCATTTTTTTTCATTAAGTACTAAAAGACCTAGTCATCAGGTTGGACAATAATGGGCCTCACTCATGACCCAATTTGATCGGGGATTTGCATCTATACCCACTTTTTGGGTCACATTTTAACTTATACTCGTTTTGCAAAAACAATTGCAAGCGTACCTACTTTTCGCGTAACTTCAGACATACGGGCCTAAAGTAGCAAAAATTTATGTCTGAAATTTGAACTTCAGAATGTTTTGCCTAAAGTGTAGCAAAAATTCAGATATTTTGCATGATGGCCTAACTTGCAAAGGCAATCACGCAAATTTCAGTTCATAGTGCAAATGGCAAACTTCAGTTCATAGTGCAAATGGAAAACTTCAGTTCAATAAAAAAATATCATGTTTTGGCTGAAGTTTTTGTTTGTAATTGCTGCACTTCAGCATTCTAGGGCAAATGACAAACTTCATTTCAATAAAACAACAGTATGTTTTGGCTCAAGTTTTTGTTTGTAATTGCTGCACTTCAGCATTCTAGTAGCTGGTGATTTATTTTGTATTTACTGAACTCTAGCATGTTTTAGCTGAAGCTTTGTTCTGTATTTGCTGAACTTCAGCATGTTTTAGCTGAAGCTTTGTTCTGTTTGTGATGAACTTCAGGGGTGAAGTTTGTTTTGTATTTGCTGAACTTCAGCGTTCTAGGAGCTGAAGTTTTTGCTTATATTTGTTGAACTTCAGCATTCTTAGAGCTGAAGTTTTAAACAACAATGAATTTAATAGACCATGATTAACAACAATTGATGTTGTTCATTTCAAAGATTAAAGAATGAAAAATATTTTCGATATGAAGAGGTCTGAAGTTTTATTTTTGAGGGAAAAATAGTAATTTTACCGAATCCGTAGGTTAAATAAATATGATAAAACATTCACGCTGTATAAATATATAACTACGCTCCATGTAAGATATTTGAAAAATCGGCGATCTTAAGTTTCAAAAGAGCCAAAATTAATGGAAATAAATAAAGAAAGAGAAAATAAAAAAGGAAGGAAAGAAACTAGATGAATAAGACAGTGGGTACAACTATTAACGAAGGAGGAGAAGGAGGAGGAGAGAGATGCTTGAAATTGTTTAAACAATGGGTACAAGTTAAAATCTTTTTAAAAAGTGGGTATAGGTTAAATGGGGGCGACCAAATAGGGCGCCACGTGCAATTTTTACAATTTGATCCCAGCAGATCCAAGCCCATGCAGTATAATAGCATGTTTGGCCAAGCTTCTCAAGAGGACAAAAGTATTTTTTTTTCTTTTTCAAAAGCATTTTTTTCCCTAACTTGAGGTGTTTGGCCAAGCTTTGTTTGGGAAAAAAGTGCTTTTGGGAAGAAGCAGAAGCAGTTTTTGAGAAGCAGAAAAAAGTAGCTTCTTCCCAAAACCAGAAGCAGAAGTAGTTTTGACTTTTATTCTTACAAAAAATACCCTTAACAAAATATAGTATATACCAAAATAACCGTTAAATTTAATACTTAGGATATTAATGTATAATAATTTCTTATTATTTTTAGGATAGCTTTCTAATATATAGTGACTTTAGGGGTGAATGCTTTTATATTTGTTGAATGATTCTTAATATATTTAACTTATATTAAAAGAATTAAGTATTTTTAAATTTTATTTTCATATTTTACTTAAATAAAATAAAAAGATTGAATTATTGCATGTAAGAACAAAATTTTAAGATTATTTTTTTTATACTTATAATATTAACTATTAAGCAAATCTATTCATGTCCTTATTCGTAATTTGATNTACTCGGTTTTGGGGTCACAATTGTAGTTATACCCACTTTGCAAGCAAGCCTACACTTTACGATCAACCTCAAACTTATCTGGTATGGAATTTTAAAAAAATTAACCCGAAGTGAAAAAATTATACTATAGATGCACATAAGGCCAAACAGGCCTGAAGTGAAACCAATGGTTTCATGCACTTAAGGCCAAATAAGACTGGAGTTCAATAAAACAACAACATGTTTTGGCTGAAGTTTTTGTTTGTAATTGCTCTAGTAACTGAAGCTTTGTTCTGTATTTGCTAAACTCTAGCATATTTTAGCTGAAGCTTTGTTCTGTATTTGCTAAATTTCAACATGTTTTAGCTGAAACTTTGTTTTGTTTGTGATGAACTTCATGGCTGAAGTTTGTTTTGTATTTACTGAACTTCAGCGTTCTAGGAGCTGAAGTTTTTGCTTATATTTATTGAACTTCAGCATTCTTAGAGCTGAAGTTCTAAACAACAATGAATTTAATAGATCATGATTAACATCGATTGATGCTGTTCATTTCAAAGATTAAAGAATGAAAAATATTTTCGACATGAAGAGATTTGAAGTTTTATTTTTGAGGGAAAAATAGTAATTTGACCGAACCCATAGGTTAAATAAATATGATAGAACATTCACGCTGTATAAATATATAACTATGCTCCATGTAAGATATTTGGAAAATCGGCGATCTTAAGTTTCAAAAGAGCCAAAATTAATGGAAATAAATAAAGAAAGAGAAAATAAAAGAGGAAAGAAAGAAACAAGATGAATAAGACAGTGGGTACAACTATTAACGAAGGAAGAGAAGGAGGATGATAGAGATGCTTGAAATTGTTTAAACAGTGGGTACAAGTTAAAACTTTTTTTAAAAGTGGGTATGGGTTAAATGGGGACGACCAAATAGGGCGCCACGTGTAATTTTTATAATTTGATCCCAGCAGATCCAAGCCCATGCAGTATAATAGCATGTTTGGCCAAGTTTCTCAAGAGGCCAAAAATATTTTTTTTTTCTTTCTCAAAAGCACTTTTCCCCCTAACTTGAGGTGTTTGG